TGGGTGTGTGCACCACTGTGTGCCATATTAAAATAATTGGGGATGCCTGGGTACCATATGCTTTTTTTTTCCTATTAAAAAAAAAAGATTTTTTTTTCTCAAAAAAGTTGGGGCACTACAGTAGAGAACGTATATATACGTTTGCACCGTTTACGGTTATTAAATGTATGAAAGACTAGAAGGTGCCTAGGGATTGGTGGAATAAGTAAGTAAGTAAGTAAGTAAGTTTATTCAGGTATACACAAATACAGTTACATAGAATTATCATACATAGCAGCATATGTGTAGAGAACCTAGGATAACCCAAAAAAGTCAGACAGAGTGACTTATTTCCATTGGGGTTCCATTGGAGAGCATGTATAGTCCCTTTATATAAAGGGAAGGGGGCCAAAAGAGATTCTAAAAACTGTAGAGGAATAAGTTTACTCAGTGTACCAGGAAAAGTGTACGGTAGGGTTATAATTGAAAGAATTAGAGGTATGACGGAATGTAGGATTGCAGATGAGCAAGGAGGTTTCAGAGTGGGTAGGGGACGTGTAGTTCAAGTGTTTACTTTGAAGCATATATGTGAACAGTATTTAGATAAAGGTAGGGAAGTTTTTATTGCATTTATGGATTTAGAAAAGTCATGTGATAGAATGGATAGGGGAACAATGTGGCAGATGTTGCAAGTACAGTGGACCCTCAACCAATGATGGCATCTATTAATGATAAATCCGACCAGCGATACATTTTAACGCAAAAATTTTGCCTCGACTAGCGCTAAAAAACTCGACCAACACTATTCGTTCCGTCTGAGACGCGTCCACTTCTGGCCAGTGTTTACAAGCCAGCCAGCCACTGAGGTCGCTTCCAAGCATACAATCGGAACATTTCATATTATCACAGCCTTTTTAGTGATTGCACCTGCAAAATAAGTCACCGTGGGCCCCAAGAAAGCTTCTAGTGCCAACCCTACAGCAGAAAGGGTGAGAATTACTATGGATATAAAGAAAGAGATCATTGCTAATTTTAAAAATGGAGTGCGTGTCTCTGAGCTGGCCAGGTTTTACACAAAACCCCAAAGAACCCTCGCAATATTGTGGGCCAAAAAAACGGGGAAACAAGGAAGCCGTTCTTGCCAAAGGGGCAACTATTTTCGAATCTGAGATCGCAAGTGATAAGTTGAGAGACTGTTTTCGTTTTGGGTAAACAAAAACAGATTGCAGGGGAAAACATCTCCAACGATCAAATGTAAAAGGGTAGGAAATTGCATGAGGGTTTTAAATTTGAAAAATGCCACAACTGGGGGGGATTAGTGAATTTAAGGGGCCCCAAGGTTGGTTTGAGAGATTTTAAAAATCGTAGGGCATACAAAGTGTGATAAACCATGGTGAGGTTGCCAGTTTTGGGCCCAAAAAACAGCTAAAAAAATAAGTGCAGGAAATTTAAGGAGTACATAGACACTGAAAATTAAACTGAACAAGTGTTTAATTGTGACCTGACAATGTTGTGAAACACTTTTGGAATGTCATAAAGGAACGGGGTACAGGGCCCCTCTGGACAATAGTTGTGGACAGAGGTCCAAGGGCCTCAAACTGGTCCTAGGGCATTAAAAAAAGAAGGGGAAATAACCCCGAAAAAGGACTTGCCACCCCAAACCTAAAGGGGGGGATTCCCCTTCTAAACACTAACACCATCAACACTACTCCCTCCTCCCATCCCATCAATCATCACCAGATCTTCAATAAAGGTAAGTGTCATGTAACTGTGCATGTCTTCTTCAGTTTGTGTGTATTAAAATTAATATTTCATGTGGTAAAATTTTTTTTTTCAATACTTTTGGGTGTCCTGCATGGATTAATTTGATTTCCATTATTTCTTATGGGGAAAATTAACTCGACTAACGATAATTTTGATTAACGATGAGCTCTCAGGAACGGATTAATATCGCTGGTCGAGGGTCCACTGTATATGGAATAGGTGGTAAGTTACTAAATGGTGTAGAGTTTTTATGAGGTTAGTGAGGCTCAGGTTAGGGTATGTAGAAGAGAGGGAGACTACTTCCCAGTAAAAGTAGGTCTTAGACAGGGATGTGTAATGTCTCCATGGTTGTTTAATATATTTATAGATGGGGTTGTAAAAGAAGTAAATGCTAGGGTGTTCAGGAGAGGGGTGGGATTAAATTATGGGGAACCAAATACAAAATGGGAATTGACACAGTTGCTTTTTGCTGATGATACTGTGCTTATGAGAGATTCTAAAGAAAAATTGCAAAGGTTAGTGGATGAGTTTGAGAGTGTGTGTAAAGGTAGAAAGTTGAAAGTGAACATAGGAAAGAGTATGGTGATGAGGGTATCAAATGATTTAGATAAAGAAAAATTGGATATCAAATTGGGGAGGAGGAATATGGAAGAAGTGAATGTTTCCAGATATTTGGGAGTTGACGTGTCGGATTTATGAAGGATGAGGTAAATCATAGAATTGATGAGTGAAAAAAGGTGAGTGGTGCATTGAGGTATATGTGGAGACAAAAAACGTTATCTATGGAGGCAAAGAAGGGAATGTATGAAAGTATAGTAGTACCAACAATCTTATATGGGTGTGAAGCTTGGGTTGTGAATGCAGCAGCGAGGAGGCGGTTGGAGGCAGTGGAGATGGCCTGTCTATGGGCAATGTGTGGTGTAAATATTATGCAGAAAATTCGGAGTGTGGAAATTAGGAAAAGGTGTGGAGTTAATAAAAGTATTAGTCAGAGGGCTGAAGAGGGGTTGTTGAGGTGGTTTGGTCATTTAGAGAGAATGGATCAAAGTAGAATGACATGGAAAGCATATAAATCTATAGGGGAAGGAAGGAGGGGTAGGGGTTGTCCTCGAAAGGGTTGGAGAGAGGGGGTAAAGGAGGTTTTGTGGGCAAGGGGCTTGGACTTCCAGCAAGCGTGCGTGAGCATGTTAGATAGGAGTGAATGGAGACGAATGGTACTTGGGACCTGACGGTCTGTTGGAGTGTGAGCAGGGTAATATTTAGTGAAGGGATTCAGGGAAACCGGTTATTTTCATATAGTCGGACTTGAGTCCTGGAAATGGGAAGTACAATGTCTGCACTTTAAAGGAGGGGTTTGGGATATTGGCAGTTTGGAGGGATATGTTGTGTATCTTTATATGTGTATGCTTCTAAACTGTTGTATTCTGAGCACTGCTGCAAAAACAGTGAAAATGTGTGAGTGTGGTGAAAATGTTGAATGATGATGAAAGTATTTTCTTTTTGGGGATTTTCTTTCTTTTTTGGGTCACCCTGCCTCGGTGGGAGACGGCCGACTTGTTGAAAAAAAAAAAATCTATTATAAAAAGAACTAAACCCACAAGGGTCGTGAATTGCTATACATAAAGGCATACGAAAATAATATTTTTCTACAGTTACCTCCCAGTGTTTGACTAGAGAAAACGCAATTCTTCCGATACTACCTACACAGCTGCTTTGTAAACAAATATCATTATTTATTTTTATTATCACACTGGCCGATTCCCACCAAGGCAGGGTGGCCCGAAAAAGAAAAACTTTCACCATCATTCACTCCATCACTGTCTTGCCAGAAGGGTGCTTTACACTACAGTTTTTAAACTGCAACATTAACACCCCTCCTTCAGAGTGCAGGCACTGTACTTCCCATCTCCAGGACTCAAGTCCGGCCTGCCGGTTTCCCTGAACCCCTTCATAAATGTTACTTTGCTCACACTCCAACAGCACGTCAAGTATTAAAAACCATTTGTCTCCATTCACTCCTATCAAACACGCTCACGCATGCCTGCTGGAAGTCCAAGCCCCTCGCACACAAAACCTCCTTTACCCCCTCCCTCCAACCTTTCCTAGGCCGACCCCTACCCCGCCTTCCTTCCACTACAGACTGATACACTCTTGAAGTTATTCTGTTTCGCTCCATTCTCTCCACATGTCAGAACCACCTCAACAACCCTTCCTCAGCCCTCTGGACAACAGTTTTGGTAATCCCGCACCTCCTCCTAACTTCCAAACTACGAATTCTCTGCATTATATTCACACCACACATTGCTCTCAGACATGACATCTCCACTGCCTCCAGCCTTCTCCTCGCTGCAACATTCATCACCCATGCTTCACACCCATATAAGAGCGTTGGTAAAACTATACTCTCATACATTCCCCTCTTTGCCTCCAAGGACAAAGTTCTTTGTCTCCACAGACTCCTAAGTGCACCACTCACCCTTTTCCCCTCATCAATTCTATGATTCACCTCATCTTTCATAGACCCATCCGCTGACACGTCCACTCCCAAATATCTGAATACATTCACCTCCTCCATACTCTCTCCCTATATCATATTTACATCAATTATTATTCTGAGTGTATGTATCATGTTTATATGCTATGTAATGAGTTTCATATATAATTTTGAGGAAAATATCATAGATGGATTAATGAAAATGCCTATATTGATGTAAAATAAGACATTTAGTGTGCCCAAGAGTGATTATTATTACATAGTATTGGCGTCATGAGTAGAGAGAGACTTAGCGATTTTAATGTGTACCTGCACACCAGCACAGTGTGTAAGTATATTTAGGTACAGGTACACGTAAGTATAATTATCAGAGTACATATAAAATATGCAGTAACTTTAAAACACTTGAAATTTTGGAAAGTTTCCTGACATAATAGATGTGGTCACGGAAAATGTAAACAAACCGGGTGGGGGCGCCGTATTTAAAAGACCACTTACCATATAGCAAATTTTGGTCATAATTTGACATCGCCGAATTAGCAGAACGCCGTAAGTGGGGCCTTACTGTACTGTACATTGTTTGGAATGCTAATGTTATATTAATGTTGTAGTTTGACCTTATTTCATTTATCCAGTAGCCATGAATATTTATATGAATGTGATATTTGCAGAGACATCGTGAATGCATCCCCTCCCACTTATGCCAAATTTGTACTGTAAAGGCAAAAATATTTATTAGATATTTATTTATCCAATCTTGCAGGTCTTCACACCTACTAATAAGATTGCAGTAAACAACATGTTCCTGAATATGTATGATGGCCAGATAACTGTGTTGTTGGGCCATAATGGAGCTGGCAAGACAACGACAATGTCCATGTTAACAGGTGAGAGTTGCTTTCTAAATATGTATATGTACTCACCAAGTTGTGTTTGAAGGGGTTGAGACTCAGCTCTGGCCTTTTGGGGCTTTTTCATACTATCTGCTTGTTAAGCTGTTTTGTGTTTGATCCCACCATTGCCTCATCCAAGACATTCTACTTTTTGACTAGCCTTATACTAAAGAAATACTTCCTTACATTCTTGTGACTCGTTTGTTTTCATCTTCCACCTGTCTCTCCTAGATCCTGGTCCTCTTAAATCAAATATTCTGTCCCTACCTGCCCTCTGTATCCCTTTCAGGATTGTGTACGTCACAGATATGTCTTACTTTGTTGTTCTCTCGGCCAGGGTCAACAGGTTCAATTCCTTCAACTTCTTCTCTAGTACATCTTACTTCTGGTAACAGCTGTGTCACAAACCTTTCAATCTTTATGAGTTTCTTCACATGCTTTATCAAGTGTTGGCTCCATGCTGGTTGCAGGGGTTGAGTCACAGCTCCTGGCTCCACTTCTGCTGGTCTCTACTAGGTCCACTCTCTCCTGTCTCCGAGAGTCTTATCATACCTCTTTTTAAAGCTATGTATGGATACTGCCTCTACTACTTCACTCTCCAGATTGTTCCATGTCCTGACAACTCTAAGGCAGAAGAAGTACTTCCTAACATCCCTATGATTCATCTGAGTTTTCAACTTCCAGTTGTGTCCCCTTGTTCCTTTATCCCATCTCAGAAACATTCTCTCCCTATCCACCTTGTCAATTCCTCTCAGTATGTTTTACATCATTATCGTGTCCCCCGTATCCTCCACTGTCATCGGGTTTAGTTCCCTGAACCTCTCGTCATAGGGCATACCGCTTAGCTCCAGGATTAGTCTTCTTACAAACTTCTGCGTTTTCTCTAATTTCTTGATGTGTTTGACCAGGTGTGGGTTCCATACTAGTGCTGCATACTGTAGTATGGGCCTGATGTACACAGTGTCATGAATGACTCCTTACTTAGATGTTGAAATGCAATTCTCAGGTTTGTCTGATGCTTATATGATGCAGCAGTGTGTATATGTGTATGTGTGTGCATGCATGTGCATTCATAAATAGCAAAAAGGCACAATACCATCACTGGAACAATACAAAAATAACCCGCACATAGGAAAGAGGAACTTACGACGACATTTCAGTCCGACTTGGACCATTTACAAAGCCACACTAACAAAAAGGAGAGAAGGAGGGAGAATATATAGGCCGGCAGACAGGGATGGGACAAGAGAGGTAGTAGGAAAGGAAGAAAGTAGTGCTAGAGGTAGTAGTTGTAGTAGTGGAGTCAGTCAAAGACTAAGAAAGAGGGTTTTGGGTTAGATTGTTTAATTGCATTGGGGTTGTATTGGTTGAGGTCCTTCTGTATGTGGTTCTGAGGAAGGTTGTATTTGCTCTTCCTTCTGAGTCTGGATTCTCCTGCTTACCTCCATCTTTGCCTCTCTTTTCTCCTTGCATCTTTGTACCCTCTCTTTCAATTTCTGCCTTTCTTCTACTGTTCTGTCGCAGTCGAGGTACACCCTCTGGTACGCTAATGTGTCCCTTAGTCGTGCCTTCTCTTGCAGGATCCTATTTTGAGCAAATTCTGCCTTGAAAATCACTTTGACTGGCCATTTTTTTCTCTTGCTAACCCCCCTACTCAGAAAATTTGTCAGCTGGGTCATGTCGTCCTCTCCTATTGCTTTGATGATACTTTCAATTGCTTTTTTCTTCCTCTTGTATATGTGTATGTGTGTGTGCATGTGTACATGTGTGTATGTGCATATGTACATTGTGTATATGCATGTGTATATGTGTGTACTCACCTGATTGTGTTGCAGGGGTCGAGACTCGGCTCCTGGCCCTGCCTCTTCACTGGTCACTACTAGGTTCTCTCTCTCCCTGCTCCATGAGCTTTATCATACCTCGTCTTAAAACTATGTATGGTTCCTGCCTCCACTACATCACTTACAAGACTATTCCACTTCCTGACAACTCTGTGACTGACGAAATACTTCCTAACATCCCTTTGACTCATCTGAGTCTTCAACTTCCAATTGTGACCCCTTGTTTCTGTGTCTACTCTCTCTAGAACATCAGGTCTCTGTCCACCTTATCTATTCCTCGCAGTATTTTGTATGTCGCTATCGTGTCTCCCCTAACCCTCCTGTCCTTCAGTGTAATCGGGCTGATTTTCTTTAACCTTCCTTCTTAGGACATTCCCCTTACCTCTGGAACTAGCCTTGTTGCAAACTTTTGCGTTTTCTCTAATTTCTTGACATGCTTGACAAAGTGTGGGTTCCAAACTGGTGCTGCATACTCCAGTATAGTCCTGATGTACATGGTGTACAGAGTCTTGAACAATTCCTTACTGAGGTATCGGAATGCTATTCTCAGGTTTGCCAGGTGCCCTTATGCTGCAGCAGCTATCTGATTGATGTGTGCTTCCAGAAACGTGCTCGGTGTTATACTCACCCCAAGACCTTTCTCCTTGTGTGAGGTTTGCAGTCTTTGGCCACCTAGCCTATACTCTGTCTGTGGTCTTTGCCCTTCCCTGATCTTCATGACTTTGCATTTGGCAGGGTTAAATTCGATGAGCCAGTTGCTAGACCATGCACCTGTCCAGGTCAATTTGTAGTCCAGCTTGATCCTCATCTGATTTAATTCTCCTCATTGCTATAGCTCATTCTAGCTCAATACTTAGACTATACCAAAGTCATTATATTAGACCTTAGTGCAATTGCAAGTGAGAGTCTTGTGCTATTTTTAATTTGTATTATTATATTATTAGTTTATACCTAGTTATACTTTAGCTCATTCCAGCACAACACATAGACAACACCAACTCCATTATGTGTATTAGTGACTATACTCTATATGACCAAAATGCTATAGCTATATACTTGTCCAAACTTCCCACCACTACAGATATCAGTACTAGAACTCAACACACAACTCAGGATATAAATAACCATAATTTAAATACCTAGAAGATGATTGATCGCGTTGACCCTGATCTAAACCTCCATAATCTGACACACAGTCAAAACCTATTGGAAAGTAACTGCCTTTACTACACAGCATCACAAGCCAGCACTATCCTAAACAATGCTAAAAGTCTATCAGTACTTAACTACAACATCAGGTCCTTAAGCAAACACTATGATGACCTCCTGGCACTCCTTGAATCACTAAAGACACCCTTCTCCTGCATTATTCTTACTGAGACCTGGCTTAAGCAGGACACAATAGATATCTACCCTCTACCGGGATACACAGCAATCCACAACTGCAGACCATACCAAGTTGGGGGTGGTATTGCAATCTATTACTCTAACCAGTTATCTTGTATTAGCACCAATTTCTTTAGTGATGAATATGGAGAATACATTTTTGCTAATTTTACTGTAAAAAACCTTAAGACACCTATAACAATCGGTGCCAATTACCGGATTCCCCACACAAACATCCCAAATTTCAGTGAGAAATTAAAGGCACTAATAACAAACAGACAAATGAATAAGCACCACCTTCTCTTAGCTGGAGACTTCAACATCAACCTTGGCCTACTAGATGATCAGCCTGTAACTGATTTCATCAACAACATGAACAACACACTTCTCATACCAACAATAACTAAACCAACCAGGCTCACTGAAACAAGTGCAACCATAATAGACCACATATGGACCAATATACTAGCCCCCCTTAAATCAGGGATAATCACAGATAGCACTACAGACCACTACCCTACCTTCCTCTTGACAAACATTAGTAAACCACCACTTGAATACAACAAAGTTTCATTTAGACTCCATGATGAGACCTCAATAAGGAAGTTCACAGCTGACCTAGAGACTGTTGACTGGCCTACAGAATTCTCCAAGGCCAATGGTATTGATGACTGGACAGACATTTTTCTTAACAAATTACTTAGACTATACAACAAACATTGTCCTATAAAAACGAAACAAATCACAAACAAACGGCTTGGTTGCCCATGGCTAACCAGCACCATTCTGAAATCCATTGATAAGAAACACCAATATGAAAAGCAATATAGACAGGGCTTAATACACAAAGATATTCTTAACCCTTTCAGGGTCCAAGGCCCAAATCTGGAGTCACGCACCAGTGTCCAAGAATTTAAAAAAAAAAAAATTTGTTATTTTTTCTTATGAAATCGTAGAGAATCTTTTTGTGAAGGTAATAAAACAAAAAGTACGAAATTTGGTGGAAAATTGACGAAATTATGCTCTCGCGAATTTTGATGTGTCAGCGACATTTACGAATCGGCGATTTTGCCGACTTTGACTCCCATTTTAGGCCAATTACATTATTCCAATCAACCAAATTCTTAGCTATTTCACTAGTATTACTTCTATTCTATCGATTGAGCACAAGAAATCGCCCAGTCAACTGTTTCAACTACAAAATAAAGTGATCGGAAATTGTTAATTTGGCCAATTTAACACAAAGTTCAAAATATTCCAATTTCAAAATAGGGTCCAGAATAAACAATGTAGGCATTCCTGGCACTAAACTAACGTTTCCTCTGTTCATTAGTTATGTTTTGAGGCTTTACAAATAAATTCCATTTTGATTTTTTATTCACATAATGAATTTTTATTCACACCAAAAAACAGAAGATTTACTGTTATGCAATACTGTAATAATTGTATAAATATCATCACCATATTTTTTTTATTTTATTATCACACTGGCCGATTCCCACCAAGGCAGGGTGGCCCGAAAAAGAAAAACTTTCACCATCATTCACTCCATCACTGTCTTGCCAGAAGGGTGCTTTACACTACAGTTTTTAAACTGCAACATTAACACCCCTCCTTCAGAGTGCAGGCACTGTACTTCCCATCTCCAGGACTCAAGTCCGGCCTGCCGGTTTCCCTGAATCCCTTCATAAATGTTACTTTGCTCACACTCCAACAGCACGTCAAGTATTAAAAACCATTTGTCTCCATTCACTCCTATCAAACACG